GCTGAGAGACATAGTCCCTCCAACATGTCCTGGGTCTACCTTTAGGTCTCCTCCCGGTTGGACGTGCCCTGAAAACCTCACCAGGGAGGCGTTCAGGAGGCATCCTAATCAGATGCCCAAGCCACCTCAACCGGCTCCTCTCGATGTGGAGGAGCAACGGGTCTACTCCGAGCTTCTCACCCTATCACCCACTCTGGCTGACCATAGATGAGGGTAGGAACGTAGATTGACCGGTAAATCGAGAGCTTCGCCTTCTGACTCAGCTCTCTCTTCACCACGACAGACCGGTACAACGCCCACATCATTGCAGACGCAGCACCAATCCGACTACCGACGCTCTTCCAGTCTGATAAATATGCTGCCATCTCAGCATTTTTATTTTCTGTAGCTGAAATTCTGCATCGAACTGAGCAGGATCCGTTTTTTAAGGTGGTGAATGCAGCACTACCTTTCCCACCTCGTTAAATGCCCAGTTTACACACATTACACGTGCTTATTACACTACTTTTGCTGCTCATTTAAAAAAACATCCAAATTACAGACATTTTCTCTTTCCTGAGGTGACAACTACGCTCTGTGTTGGCTAACTTCTGCATGCTGTGGTGCGTGACTAACCAACATTTCTGAGTGTTTTATTTGGACAGAAATTTACTCTTCTAGAGCAATTGTTCTCGTTCTTTAAAGATGAAATATGTAACAATGAAGAAAGAGTGGCATCTTGTGGTCAAATGTGGGCACTGCAGTCCATTTAAATAAGTCACCACCTCACTCCCAGTGAGTTTCATGGCTGTTGCCAGTTACGGGTCAGCACCAGAAGAGTCTAGATGACACGCTAAAGCCTGGTTTATGCTTCTCCGTCAGCTCCAACAGGGAGAGACACGCACGGATTGACGGAAGCGTTTAGCCCTCATACTTCTCCGTCTCCTGGAGAGTGTTGCAAAGCAATTGCCCGGCAGGACCACAGAGGGCGTAGCGCTGTTCTATGGTATCCTGTCATGTATCGGTCCAAGATCGTGTGTTTATATTGTGTTTTTTGTGTATATAAGAGACTTTTAACACGGACATATTTGTCTCTCATTCTCCCACCTCTTCATGCGCTCCCCACCTCTAAACCCACGTTTCCTGTCATTTCTGTCCACAAATAAAATGCTTGCTGTGCATCTTTTCACTCCTCCAGTCACGGGGGAATTAAACGTTCATATTTTTAGAGTTTTTTCTCGAGATATTCTTCAAGCTTCTCCGTGTCTTCCGCTAGTTATCCTCGGCTCTCTTTGCAATGGCGGCGCTGTTAACAACAGCGGCGTCCTGACCAATCACAAGCTAGCGTAATCCGTCTCGTTCGATGGATGTTTATAAAATTGGGCTCGACTCCGTACGTACTTGCGTGCCCTACTACACTTATTACAGTAATATGCCTCTAGCATTAGAACAGTTAGCCGTCTTGCTGTTAGCTTGCTGCTAGCTTGCTGCTGTATTTCTGAACGACTCATTAATGGAAATAATTAGCAGCGCTTGACTAGTTATTCACTTCATACACACTCAGTTGTTCAGAGTTGTTGATGAATTAGAGCCAACTGTGTGCTTCTAATTCACCATTAGCATTGTTAGCAACATTAGCCTGCTTCACCCAGTATTAGAGTAAAACAGAAAAGTGCCGTAGCTTTTTAGGGGTACAAGAAATAACTTCTGAGCCGCTCCTGTTTACTGGTTTTGGTAACAGTTTTGTGTTTTGTTTGTCAGACGGCGTCAAATTACAAATGCTGCAGCAGCGTTAGCGCAGCGCAGACTCCGCTAACTCAGATTACAGTAACCCCTCTTTCGTTTTTCTCAGTCGGCTGAGAATGAAACCTTCCTTCCAACACGACTGAAACATTCGACTGGTTTATGATTTTTCCACAGTAGAATTATGTTCTCTCTTTAATCCACAACGACCCCAATAATCCGTCATAAACAGCTGTCTTTGAATTAGAAATAAAAATCCTCTTTCTATTTGGTTCATCTGTTCTTTTATTACATCCGCCTGTTATTATTCATATTTGTGGTTATTTGTAGCAATAAGGATGTAAAATCTGGGAGGAAATATTCATAATCCTTAGTTCCTCCAGCAAATATAATCTGACTTCAGGGCTCTGATCTGAGGGATGTTGGCAGTTATTTTAACTTTGTATTTATATGTAATTTAAAATAGAAAATAGAGATGATGAACAATAAGTTCTCTTTTACTTTAATGCACTCTGTCTGAGCTGACAGCCTCATTAGAGAGGTGTTAAATCCTCTAATCCCAGCAGAAGCTCTCTGTTTGGATTCCATTTGAATTAAAAGTGTTCGTTTTAAACTATCTCCAGATTTCTGTCACAACACTCTGCTTTCTTGTCTTCGTGTTCTTTTGCGTTTGCCGTTTTTATCTCCCTTTCCCTCCTCGTCTTCGACTCTGTTTATTTCAGCTTTTCACTGGCGGATCTTTAGTGTGGGTGAAACAAAGTAAATCGGCTCCAAAAAATGTGGAAATGACGCAGAGAAGTGGAGAACTTGTGAGTTTTGTTGTGTTCCTGATTGGGTGTTTGGTCGTCGGTGTTGTTGTGGCGAGGCAGAAGCTACAAGGTCGGAGGTCGTGTGTGTTTCTGTTTAGTCTAAAGCCGTCCTGACACGTGAGGGAGCTGGGCAGCGCAGGTCATGGATACACAAGTGTGTTTTAATCCCAAACAGGACTCTGGGGCTTCCATGGGTGTATCTAGCCCCCCACAGTTCTGCCCCTTTTCTAACCCTAACCCTAACCTTAAAACTGAGAGACGATGAAGGTTAACGAGCACCTGCTTCAAACAAAGTCGTGTTGATGGTTCACGATGTCCGTGACGTGATATTGCGAGTCCGCGATAAGTGAACTCGTTTAATGTTTGACTTTTTAGGAACTCTTAATCTGAACAAATCATGTTCCCGCAGCCGTGGCAGCATTGAGATTGAGTAGAGTTCATAAAAACTAAATAAAATGATTAATAATGTCACAGTCCAGTTTCATTGTGCCAGAATAAAGTCTGAGTTTGTTATTAATGGAAATCTTTCATTTTACACTTTGCTCACCTGTGAAAACTTTAACATTTCTATGAGCTCAAATGAATATAAATGCATATTTATTTCTGTGTGCAAATATTTAGTGTAATGATTTAAATGACATGTTATTTAACAAGCCATAAGGCGTAGGATTCCATAGGAAATATGAAATCCACCTTACAGATCTGTGAGGTTATTTAAAACCAGAAGATTGGATCTTTTTATTGCAGGGATTAGATAACAGCTTCGTATTCACTCAGAGACAACAGAAGAGAGAGAGTCAAGTTTAAAAGTTACGAATTTTATTTCTAACAAATTAAACTAGACTGACCTTAAAACTAAATGTATGGTGTAAGTAAGGTGGATGAGACGGTGAATGGATGACGTGTGATGCTGATAAGAACCAGCAAATCCGAAGAAGCGATTCAATTCAATTCAAGTTTATTTATATAGCGCCAAATCACGACAAGAGTCGTCTCAAGGACCTTCACATAATAAACATTCCAATCCAGGTCAGTTCATTAAGCCAATCAGAAATAATGTTTCCTATATAAGGAACCCAGCAAATTGCATCAAGTCACTGACTAGTGTCAGTGACTATACAGCAATCCTCATACCAAGCAAGCATAAAGCGACTGTGGAGAGGAAAACTCCCTTTTAACAGGAAGAAACCTCCAGAGAATCCTGGCTCATTATAAGCAGCCATCCTCCACGACTCACTGGGGATCAGTTCTGATGGGAACTGAAGGTGATGTCTTCGCGTTAAGCTTTGGTTAGGAGGTTCATAAACACATGAGACGCCATTTGTCGGCCTACCTGCCCTTCAGGAAGTCCCCTTTAGATCAGGAATATCGAGGTCCAGCTCGACCTTCTCTGGAACCGAGCCGGTAGGAAAAGCAGCGGTTGCCGACCAGTCCAGTCTGTCGGATACTTCCGGGTCACGGCAATTTGTTGGCGTCTGGTGAGACCCAAGCCTGGGTCTTGATGGTTCAGCTTTTATTCTGTAAGGAACGGTTGCCGCAGTTGGAATAGCAACACATTTTTCAGCTTGTCGTTGGTTCTTTTTGGTTGAAGAGGATAGATCCGGATTGGCCACTCCGTCACTTTCTCTGGAACGCTTTGAACTGGCGTTAGAGCTGACGTGGGCATAGTTTTATGCTTTGGATGTTATGGTTTATTGTCGAATGAAAAATGACCAAACGCCATCAAAACCACGCCTCCGTCAGATCTGTAAGATTCTGATTGGATCAGTGAAATTAATGTGTTATGTCTTTTAACGCTACGTGAAATGAGTCCTGTTGGAACACTTAAAGTCATATTACCTTTATATTCTATAGAATCATAATAAAGTAATTAATATTTTGATTTCGCAGATTGGTCACATCTTATGTATTGACTAACACTTTGATGGATTAGCTTTATTAAAATAGAGTTCTTTGATTAATTAAAAGAAAAGAGTCCATTCTTCATTCTTCTGTTGAGCTGAAAATAAGCAGGTCAGAAGGAATGCATGAGACCTTGAGACCATATCTCCTGCAGGCTAGTCCTGTGCAGAGGAGGGGAAAAACAGTCATTTCATTCTGTTACATTAGTTTCATTAGACAATTTCCTCCAACTCTCCTCTTTGTAGTCTGTATTAAAAGCGTTGAGGTTTCTGTATCTGGACATCCGATCTAGTTCGGACAGTCTTTGGGGCCCTCTATGCCCACGTGTTAGAACAGACTTACAGGAGTTCGACTGTAATGAAATACTGAACAGTCTGATAAGACTGCAAACTGACAGCACAGATGAGGATTTACTTTGTCTTTGGAAGCTAATCTACATTTAGAAGAGCGGATTACAGAAACTGAACGGTACCCGTCCAGCCGGTGAATGACTCGCTGATTCGTCTCTTTCTGTCTTCTGTTGGGAATGAATTTGATGAGTTTAAAAGCTTCTCCTTTCACCCCCAGATCATTGATGACGAGGACACACAGTTCATGACCAACTGTCCTCCTGCAGTGACGGAGAGCACGCCTCGCAGAAGAACCAGAATCCAGGTTCTTTGGACCGCACCGCCCAGCGGTACCGGCCGCGTCATACTCAAGTGAGTGCTGTTCTGATCTAACGTGGGTCACTCCTTATTATTCAGATGGAGGGATGAAAAGGAGATAAATATGTTTCTCAGCTCTGTTTTCTGGACTTTGAGGCAGCTGCTTAACGGAAGGAGGACTGCTGTCGGTCGCTTTCTAAGCAGATCTCTCTTGACATCCTCCTTCTCAACCAAGACCCCACAATGCGGGTCAAAAATTGAAACAAACGCGGAAATGAAATAAATTGCAGTTCCACCCTCATCCACTAGGGGCTGGTGTCAGAAGCGAACAAATCCTCATTGACTCCCATGTTAAAAATACCAATTTCACTGCAGAAATAAACATGTTTACAGCCTGGTACCAAAACATGTTTTTGGTTTAAATGATCTAGTTTACACTCATGACAACTCTGAGGGGGGTGAATTTGTTTCTCACTCTTCTGTTTAAGTGTATTAAAAGCCTAAAATTCTGAATAATTAATGAGCATCCGACCCACGTGACCGCCGCCTCAGACCCACGTGACCGCAGAGCAAGCTCAGTGGAAAGGCCTCAGTAGAGCCTTGGTCTCACCTGAAAACTGTTTGGTCATTTTCAGTCTCTCAACTTAGACCATTGGTTGTAGTGTTTGTGCGTTCTTTTTTGGATATTTTTTGTGCAATTGTTGGACAAAATGACTTGCTGTGGCATTAATTGCACTAATAGAGCGTCCAAGGAGTCTCCACTTTATGTATTTTAGGTCACTGCCGAGCTGAGCATAGATTTTAACATGTACTGTTTAAGCATGAAATTTAATTGTAATAGGGTAAAACCCAGTGCATTTAACAATGCTGCACTTTAGAAAATGGGTTGAAATATAACATGTTGGTGGAGCTGGGTTCCCACTATCGGCTTGTGGAGCTCTCGGAGACCTTTGTGTTCCACCCGGTCCTCCCCTCCCCGCAGCTCGGCGCATCTCTGTCTGATCGCAGCTCCAGTCTGCTGTGCGGCTGCCGGCTTGTGGAGCTCTGGGATGGAAACCTTTCCACCGGGTTTTACCCAGCGGTCAGCCCGGCGTATCGCTGATTCAGAAGCTCTGGTGTTGTGCACAGTTAGCTCCGGTTGTAGCTAGGTTGCTACCTCCGTTAGCTTAGCTCCCACCTCCGCGTTAGCTTTGGGTTAGCTTCAGGTTAGCTTGTAGCTGGTTCGACCGGGTGTCATCAGTTGATCCCAGCCTTACAGCCCCACCCTCAGCTCCTCCTCTCTTTCCTTTTGTGGAATTGTCTGGGCTTGACGTAACCTGTGCCACGGTCAAAATGGCGGTGGTGGCCACCTCCCATTTTTCTTCAAAAACGTGTTATTGGAGTCTATGGGAACCCATTGTCCACATGCGTATATGTCGATGTTCTCAGCCTCAGCTCAGTTCCCAGACCAGACTGTAGCTTCATTTAAAAGTGGTTCTTCTCTCAAAAAGCATTTATAAAATCTTATTTCTGATTCTAACGGGTCACTCTGAGTGTTTCATGCAGGCTGAACATGAAGATAGTCTCCTACACCTATCTCCTGCAGTAGCTTCTGATAGAAAACAGACGATGAAACTCTAGGATTAGAAAATCCTGACAGATCTACGTCACACCGTCACTCAACACTCATGACTCGCCCATCTTGACTCACGACGGGGAAGGCTGTTGTTTGTTCAGCATTACTGACCGGCTTAATGAACTGAACTGAATGTTTACTGTGTGAAGTGCCGTGAGACGACGCTTGTCGTGATTTGGCGCTTCACACAGTAACCTGAATTGAATTGAATACATGGAAGAAAAATGTTTAGACTTACAGTAAAGCCCTGTTAATGTTTAAAATGGAGACGTGTAACGAATCTACCCAAAGTTAAAGCAGCAGGGTTAGCGTCACCATGGAAACTGATTAACATCCACGTGTAGCTGCCTAACAGCGAAACAGCTTTAGAGAATAGTATCATCCCCTCTGTATGGAGCAAATCTGTAATCAAACCTATTCCAAAGTGTGCGAATGATGATCCTAGAATTCCATTGAATTACCGGGGGATTAGTCTGATTAGTACAGTTTATAAGATTTACTCAGGAATCCTCAATAACAGACTGAATTCATTTTTGGAATCTTGTGGAAGTTTGGTGGATGAACAAAATGGATACAGGAAAAATCAATCTTGCATTGATCATATGTATGTGTTATCATCGGTGGTGAGAGCTCGCTTGGATAAGGGATTGAGTACTTATGCCTGTTTTGTGGACTTTAAAAAGATTTTGACTGTATCAATAGAGAATTATTGTTATTTAAATTACTATATTTTGGTATTGATGGAAAATTCTATGATGCTATAAAAGCATTATACAGAAATTTAACTGCTTGTGTACAAATTAATAATATGAGAACGGACTGGTTTGCAACGCCCTTCGGTGTGAAAATGTGATGTTAATTGTGTCAGACAGGAGTTGGATGTAAAATACAGGGAACAATGGAAGAAGGATATTTGGAATAAACCAAAACTTAGAAATATTGTACAATTTAAAAGGGATTATAATACAGAATTATATCTCAAATGTAAGTTAACAAGAAGGCAAAGATCTCTCTGTGCTCAAATAAGAACGGGCACCCTCCCTTTGGCAGTGGAAGTGGGACGATTTAAAGGAATACCTTGGGATTCCCATCTATGCGAGTTTTGTGATTCCAATGTGGTTGAGAATGAATTCCATTTTATCTTTCATTGTTCCTTGTATTGTGATTTGAGAGAGTCCTTATTTGATTTTATCCAGTCGAAAAATCCCAACTTATTTTGGTAGCAGGAAGATGAAATCATGTATTGGTTGTTTGAAAATAATATTTTTGTTTTAGCTAAATTTGTGGGAAAGGCTTGGTATAGACGCCAAAGTATTCTGTACCCCATATGAGAAATACGTGGTCATAGTTGTGTTTGTTTAGCAGTGTTGTGTATTAATCTGTATCACGCAGCCATGTTATGATTTCTTGAATTTTGTAGTGTCTAATAAGCCCGAGTGGGCTGGGCTCCCTTTATGGTGTATGACACTTAAATAAATTAAATCAATCAATAATGTAGAGAAATTTTCGGCCATTATGAAGGATGTTTTTGTGTTAAAACTATAAACCAGGGGTGTCAAACTCAAACTCACACGGGGCCGAAATGAAACTCTGGGACGGAGTCGAGGGCCAAACTTGATATTTTTTGAAAAAGTGACAGCAAATTTGCACATTTTCTTTATCAACATATATGCAATTTTGAACCTTTAAATTTGGAAACAAACATATTTCTGCATTAACACTGAATGTGGAATAACCAAATTACACACGAGCAAGTCAGTTTTAGATAAAAGGCATCAGTGGTATTCATTACTTGTGGTGTATTCAGCATTTTTAAATCTATTCAGGATGCTCACATAGGTTTGTGCTGATGAACATGTCTGAGCAGCTTGACCACGTTGTTGTGTGTCGGGGAGGAAACACAACGACAGCAGCCACAGAGTCGTGCTGGTTTGAGCGTGTCGCTGCTCGCTGGAGTTATATCAGCTCTGTCTGGACGTTAGTTGGAAAACTTTCTCTTTCAGTCGTGAACACATTACTGAGTGGCTAGAATCTCCGTTTCTGGGCTTCAACGTCGGAAAATAGCTGAGTGAACTTGGCGCTGAGTGAGAGGAGTGTTTAGTTTGTCCGAGACAGCGGAGCTGCAGACACCGGCAGCAGGCGCTGGAAAAAACACAAAGGAGGGGGCGCGTCGGCTCTGCGCTAACGCCGCAAAGCATCATGGGAGTTGAAGTCTTTGCGGTAAAATTGGCCAGTGGGCCAGTTTTAATATACTTTTGATATTTATCTCGCGGGCCACATAAAAATGCTCCGCGGGCCGCATCTGGCCTGCGGGCCTTGTGTCTGACATATGTGCTATAAACATTTACTATCTTACTGTAGTTAGCTTCCTGAAGGGCCTCAGTTTGGAAAAGCAGGGTTTGTCTTTCAGGATGATGAGCTGATGGTCAGCAGCTGAAACTCAAATGACTCCAGTCTCCAAAGTATAACAGTAATATGTTGTTTACAGGGTTTTTCCTGCATTCCAATTTGCGTGGCGGCCCCCTCCAGCTATTTTTATGTCGCCCCAGCCTGATTTCACTCTGCCCCCAGCTATATGGATGTTATTTTAACTGCAGTTGCAGCGTTGCGCCACTACAGGGGTGCTGTATCAGCAGCGGTGCACCGAAAAGCGCTAAAACCGCTGCAGACAAAGAAGATGAAGAATAGCTTTTCTCGCTAGTTGGTACATATCCATGGTTGGTGCTATTGTAGGCTGACCATACGCCCTCTTTCCCCCGGACATGTCCACGTTTCACTCTCTGTCCGCGGCGACCGGGGGGTTCCTACATTGATCAAAATGTTCGGTTTTTCATCCAGGAGCAGGAATCGAGTTATGGGGGCTAGATATCTTTCAGGGAAAGATCCAGTTTCTGCCTGTATTACAATATTTACGGACTCTCAGCGTAGCGGGGTTCTGTTGAGCGGAGAGGACGCAGAGCGCTGATCGTTGGTGCGCCCGTTGCGTCCGGCGCACGATACATTCTCAAGGTGGCGCAACAAAACGTTATTATTAACACATGATCGTTCATTTCTGTTTATATCCTCTGGTACTCTATCTTTTAATCGTTCCTGACGCGCTCCGCTCATCGTGCACTGCGGTGATTTCACCTCACTGACGCAGCAACGAAACGCGCTCTCCGCTTTGTGGTCAGGAGATCCCTTTGGTCTGCTCAGAAGTAACTGATGAGGTGAAAACGTAAGAATCCAGGCAGCAGATTTTCTGGAGAGTTTAGAGGAGATGCAGGAAGATGAGAGACAGACAGGACAGGAAAATGGTTAAATCTACCTACATTTTGTCTTTATTTGTCTCCTCCACACGTTTTTACCTGTATAAAACAACAAGTTATACACATGTAATATTTATACATCTGATACAATTCAGATCACCTTCAAAACTCAGTCACACACCCAGGGCCGT